TGATTGCTAATATCACCCTTGCTCCTTGTCACCTTGTTGGGTTTAGAATTATCCTCACATCCTCTGTCACTCAGAGGTTTGCAAGGGCTTCTAATAATTTTCTTTTGAATGTTGCATTTCACGAGAATCTCTAAAAGCAGCCCAATTTCAAATTGCTCCTCTTACAGTTTCATGTCAGGGCAGCATATCATAAAACATGCTAGTTACAGAGTGCCAGGCGGCCTGCGCTAACTCCCTCATTCCGCAAGTTTAAAAACGTGGGTACAGTTGCTGACATTCCTCGGCTGGGTTGTGGCAGGGGCAGTTCTTTAACTCCACCCAGGATATTAAGCAGGGAGGGAACTTTTGGTAGCTGGAACAGAGGGGGACCTGGATAGAAATTCCAAGGAGAAACAAATCTGGGGCTGCATGCTTTGAGTGAAGTTCACTTTGTGACGTTCTGTTTTGTTACTAGTAAAACGAAACCTCTGGGATACGTTTGTGTTTGGGAAGCATCTCGGAGTCTCTGTGCTATGGGGAGGACAGAGTAATGATCCTTCTGATTTACAGTGCTATTCCGAGCGAGAGAGACAGAGACAGAGAGAGAGATTGGGATTCAGGTGAACCACATCTGTTGTAGGTTGTCACATCACATAACTCCCAGAGGGGAGTGAACAGAGCTGCTGCTGTTGTTGAGGGAGACGTGCCCCTCCCCCAGCCAGGCAGCTCCAGGCACGAATCCTGAGCCCCTGGCTGGGGCTCATTAAGCAGTTGCATGGCCGTGATGCCACTCTCCTTAGAGGGAATCTTGTGTGACAGCGAGGATTGGGGCGTGAGGGGGGCTCAGGATGGAAGAATCCCATCTGGCATGGGCCTTTTTCTCTCTCCCCCCCCCCCCCCCCCCCCCCCCCGGCCACCCGCGGCCAAGCCCGTCCCTGGCTGCCAGAGGCCTTTTTAAATCTCCCTTAGCTTTTTTCTCTCCGGCCCTAACTTTTACCATTTAGGAGGAGTTCTTGAACAAACAGACTTGCACCCAGACATAGACAGACAGACACACTATATATGGGTATGTCTACACTGCCACCCTAGTTCGGACTAGGGTGGCTAATACAGGCATTTGAACTTGCAAATGAAGCCCGGGATTTAAATATCCCGGGCTTCTTTGCCATGTTCCCGGGTGCCGCCATTTTTAAATGCCCTGTAGTTCAAACTATCTGCCCGCAGCTACACGCCGCACGGACTAGGTAGTTTGAATTAAAGCTCCTAATTCGAACTACCATTAAACCTCCTTGCAGGAGGAATAACAGTAGTTTGAATTAAGAGCTTTAATTTGAACAACCTAGTCTGTGCCGTGTGTAGCCGCGAGCAGGTAGTTCGAACTACGGGGCATTTAAAAAAGGCGGTGCTTGGGAACATGCAAATGAAGCCCAGGATATTTAAATCCCGGGCTTCATTTGCAAGTTCAAATGCCTATATTAGCCACCCTAGTTCGAACTAGGGTGGCAGTGTAGACATACCCTTTAATATCTCTATACTATTACTTGGCTCATTCAGAATTAAACTGGACAAAGTGACATGGGTTCCATTACGTTCTGGGGGAAACTATTCCACAACCTATGACACCTCACATTCACAGACAACTTCTTTACTTAATTTGTTCCAGTAGCCCCATTTAATACCCCTTTAAATGATTCCTCTTGCTTCTATTTCAGACATGTCACAATCCCCTTGAGTTGTCACTTAGTTGTATTTAGCTCCTGTCATCTTTCTCCTTCCCTCCATGTTCCGAAACACATTCACAGCTCTTCTCTGAACTGTCCGTAGCTTGGGAGTATCTTTTGGATATTGAGGTGTCCAGTCCTGTTCCAGGTGGAGTCACACCTGAGCTTTCTAGAGAGGCACTTTCTGCTTTCTTGTTCTGTCAGGAGATGCCTCTACATATGTGCCCAAAATATTGGCCTCATTGGATGCCTTGTAAAACTGCAGACTGATCGATCATTTGCTGTTTGCGATCACCTGTCAGTCTTTGTCTACACTAATGCATCCTAGAATTCTCTCGTGCTGTCTGAATGCATCTCTGAATCTTTTGCATTCAGATGCATTAACCTGCATTTTCCCAAGCTGAATCTCGTTTTGCTCTTTTCTGCCCATTCTTCTAATCTTTCTGTCCCTTTGCATTATTTCTCCTTTCAGTGTTGTGCCTTTTCATTAGTGTATCAGCATTCACCACCTCTTCCATATAATTAATAAAGATGCTTTAAGACTGTTAACATCCATCTCTCCAGGTAGCTCCCTGAAACTCTTTGCTGCTTAGTCTGTTTCTTTAGCTAAATCTAAGATGATTTACTCAGTCCAAGTACACAGTTATGCTGAAGAATGTGAAACAAATTACAATTTAGAATTTCAGTCTTGTGAGGCTCACCAGTCCCGTCTTTAAAAACCCTCCAGTGATTTAGTATTGTACAGCAATAAGCCAAAACGCTGTAGAACCATGTTACAGAACTTGGTCTTGTGGAATGCCGCTGTAGAATAGTACAGTTTCATGTAGATGGTATTTGCCCTATTCTCTAGGAAGTAAAAGCACCACGGGTTCCATTCTTTGTTAGTCAATACTAAGTTCATACATTACTGGAAAGCATAATCAACTCTGTCAATTTTGGAAAACAAAAAAAGCGTATACCAGGTTTTTTCATGGGTAGAGTATAGTTTTAACTGTCGACACAGTGGGTGAAATCCTGATCCATTGAAGGCCATTGGAATTTTGCCATTGACTTCCATGGTGCCACGATTTTTGCTCAGAGAAGTTGCAAATCAGTGTATAATTGCCTAAAGTTCTGGCATTGATGAGTGAGTGTGTCTCAGAGACCTGGTGCCTCTTTCACTGTGGTTTGAATTTGACTGAGAGCGATGGTACTACAATAGCATGTGTTTACACCTGTGCAGGTCTTGGGTCTGGATTGGCCTGGATGGCAGCAAGTACCTCCAGATACTGCAAGCAACTGGGTGGGGACGGGCAGAGAGGTGTAGGCAAAGCTAATACTGTTTTCTTACATGTCTGAGGGGGAGGCTTGGTGAGCGGGGAGAAGCAAGTGGCAACCTTTCTCAGATTTTAATAACTTGCTTTCCTCCCTGGCGCAAGAGGGATGCATGGGAGGAATTATGACTCTCTGACTTGCCCTTTACTCAGTGCAAAGCCTAAAGACTTGCTCTAGTCGGGCAGTTTGGTGAGCTGAGGCTGTGGTAAATGTCCACGCCCATTTCCTCCCGGCCAGTGATCTTTATGATGAAAATACAACTGTTCCAGGGCTGAGCGCTCTGTTTCCCTTTTGCAGAGGAGGTGATGCTGGCAGAAGAAGACAAGAATGCGGAAGAGAAGTCCCCTCTGGACGGTAGGTTGTTTTGCATTGTACTTTCCCTCTTGTAATCCATGAGAGGTTTACACGCCATATGCTGATGTGGTTTTTACTGTGACCTAGTGGGTATAAACACCATATCTTTGCATGATACCAGCCTGATACCATGATTTAGCAAAGCCAGCTAAAATTCCCTCTTCAAAGTTTCAGGTGGACAATCAGCTGCTCTCAACGTCACTCTAGGATGGGGAGCAACCCTTGGGATCTTCCAGATGCCCTGTCTAATTGCGTGGGGGTCTGGCGTACACAGGGGCCCCCATCAGCCTCTGGGAAGCATGGAGGGATGTGTCTACTTGTAGCCTTGAGGGAAAAGCGCCAGCGTGGATGCCAGCAAAAATAAATAAAGGCAGGGTTCTCAATCAAGGTTTTCAAAAGGATTTGACACCGAGACTAAGACCCCTGTGACCTTTGAGCAGTAAGACATAGCAGGGTGTGGTGATCCTATCTAATTTCATGACTCCTATGGGCCTAATGTTAGCAGGAGAACTCGAGGGAGTAAGATTTCCGACACAGGTGCCGTGAGACTATGGAGTGTTTCCCCCGCTCTTAAGATGTTACAGACAGTGACCGTTCAGTTAAAGACTCTTCCCTCTCCCTTTTCTGACCATCTTTCGTCCTCCTGTGTCTCCTCCTTCCCCCTTCCCTCCCCGCCCTCCCCTTCTCTTTTTTTTCTTTTTGTTTCTCCTCCCATTCACTGTCAGGGAGGGCCGCCTCCGAGGGGCCAGTTCAGCAAGGCACAGCATCGACGGAGCCTGGCAGCGGCAGCTACAACAGTGAGTGGATTGCAAATCAACAGGGGCTTAGGTGGCACAGCGGGTGGATGCTTATTGCTTGTGGCCTCAGATCCGGAGTCCTTAGGTCATTAGGAACAAGGTGTTTGCTGGGCTATATCTCAGTCCTACATGGCCACTGGTCCACCACGCAAAAGGATCCCCAAATCTGGTCTGCTATGGAGTTGTTAGAGATCTGTGCTCAGGAGAGGCCCAGGAGTGGAAAAGCAGGGGGTATGGCAGGTCAGGGTTGAGGGGCATTGCCAGAGCTTTGGGGTGGGAGAACTTGGATGTAGCTGGGGTTGTTGGTCCCTGTCCTAGAAGAACAGCTGTACAATATGGGAGTTTTATGAATAAAATAGACAGGGGCTCAGGCTACAGAATTCAGACCCAGATATTGGGATCTAGGATTTATGTTCAGCCTGTTATAAAGTCGATATATGCCAAATTTGATTCCAGATCCCACTTTCGATTAGGGATGTTCAAAATTGTGCAATATTGTAATTGAGTATCCACTAAAAATCTTACATCCCCTGTCGGCCCAGCTCCCGAGGAGGTGGTGGCTTCACCGCCTTGACACAGCAAAACCGCCTCCCCGGGAGTCAGCTGAGATTAACCGAGACCATTAACTGATAGGCATCAGTTTATCGGATAAACGGTTAATCGATCAAAGTCTAACATCCCTCGTTTTGATTAGAGCCCTTCGCGCTCCGAAGTTCAGATACTTGGGAAGGTGGGACGGGGAGTTGCTGTGAGCCCTTTTCGAAAGGGAGCTCTGTGACACTTCCTAAGAAGGATTTTGTTGCCGACATGGTGGTGCACCCGTTATTCAATCATAGCAGTGCAGCTGGTGTAGGATGAGGGTCCCCTGTGGGCGTTACCCTAAACTCCATTTATCCTCAAGACAGACGGTTCTCAGATAGCAGATTCCCTATATCCCCAGCGGACAGTTTGTATCACCACACCATGGAGTGTCTTACTGCTGGTATTCAATCATGCTTAATCATTCTATTGTTTTGAAACTGTTACCAACACGGTATCAAAACTATTTTCTGATAGTTCACAAGGTTCCAAGGCAGGTGGTCTAATGCTCAGAGCAGGGTTTGCAAGACAGCAATTCCATTGTGTCCACAGCTTTGCCACTGACATGTTCCATGGCCTTGGCATACCAGTTCATCGTCCTGTGCCTCAGTTTCCCCATCTGTCAACCAGGAAAGTGATATTTACCTGCCTCCCAAAAGGGGTCACCGCGTCAGGCTGATTTGTTATGAATTTTGAAGTCCCCAGCTGGAAGGCATTGTAGAGTGGGTGCCATTAAAAAGACATTAATCATGTGATAGTATTTGCTTATCCAGGGTATTTCCTGTGTCGGGCAACACACAGTGGCAAACTATCTCAACTGGAATCCAGTGAATGGTGTACGCTGTAGAAAAGCAGAGCATCCATCCCATAGCGCATCATGGCCCAATTAGCCAAACCAAATCTCTCCTCTGCATATGACTTTGTTTAATAGAAATGTCACTCCAGTAGCGATACTGAAACGAACAGTGGTGGAAATGCGCTATCTAGGGGTACGTCTAGACTACATGCCTCTGTCGCCAGAGGCGTGTAGATTAGGCTACCCGACACAGTAAAATGAATCGGCGATTTAAATAATCACCGCTTCATTTAAATTTACATGGCTGCCGCGCTGAGCCGACAGCGCGATAGTCTGGATGCTCCCCTGCTGACATCAAAGGTATTTGTCGACCACCCAGGTAAACCTCATCCCAGGAGGGATGTTAAAATGCGGGCATTTAACAAATTGAGTAGTCGATAGAATTTTTATCGACAACACCATCAGGTGATAGGCAGCTGGCTCGCACCTGGTGCGAGACCAAACCCTGCCTATGGCCGGGTCGCTGTGTACAGGGGATGCTTTGCGGCCTACCCCCCCCCCTCTGATAGCGGCAGCAGCAGGGGTGGACAAGGCTGCACCACAAAGATGGTGCTGGGGTGAACCAGTTTTTAAACCAGCTCCCCCCAGCACTGGCTTGTGCTTCCTTTCCCACTTCCTACCTCTGATACAGAGGCAGCAAGGATGGGGTATGAGTAGTCGACTCGACTACCCAATAAGCATAGACTTCTATGTAGCCGGCTAGTCGACTACTCCTTTACACCCCTAGCCCTGCCTTCAAGCTCTAAGAAGCTACCAGACATTTTTCTTCCCCATTGCCTTTCCACTTGGCTGCACTGCGGTGTGGGTGGACAGAAGTCCTGCCTGGCAAGCCTTCAAGATTTAGAAGGTTAAATAAATAATGACCCTGGCTTCAAAGTGAGCAGAGGCCTCAGCACAAAGCTGTAGGTTGATCGATTTGCTACGGCTTATCCGTGTACAGCAGCTTTTAGCCTGCACTGGGAAGGAAATACAGGCCCCAGAGTGGGAGACGGGGAGAGAAGGTCAGCTACCGACTCTTTATAATGCTTTTCTCTTTAAACTAAATTTGCATGCAGTGTTGAAAAGAGCGACAATAAAGAAGAGCAAAAACGACCTGATTCATGCTGAAGAGGCGGAGGATCATTTCACTGACATTTGCTCCGTGGGTGAGTGTTGGCCCTGCGTTTTCTGGTGATGTGAAGAACTCGGGCACAGGGCTTTCATGTCACACTCCTCTGAGTTATTCTTTTGTTGCAACGGACTGTGCTTCCTTGCTAGAACCTCTGGACGTTTCAGCAGCCAAGTGGGCACAGGTGTGGCGGAGGGGCCCGGAGGTCTCCTCCACCCTTTGACACTCCTGCTTGAGAGCCAGATGCAGAACTTTCCCTTCCAGGGCTTGTGGAGGTACCATTCCTGCATCAGGCACCATGACTCTGGGAGCCCCTCCTTGGGCACTGCCCCTCCAGGCATAAACCCCTCGCCGTGTGAAGGCCAGGAAACTGAGAAAGATCCAAGCCCATAAATGAACAGCGTTGACTACTGGACACATGGCAGACTTCATTAGAGAATGGCTGGTACTCTGGTCACAGAGAAACCCTGGACCAAAGTTCTCTGCTAGCTCTATAACATTTACCCCAGAAAGGGCTCTTGTTGCAGATCTCCAGTGTTATGGCCAGTGAACACGAAGGACTGAGATAGGGTGTGTCTAGACTACAGGGTTTTTTCGAAAAAAGTGGCCTTTTTTTAAAAAAACTTCCCCTGCGTCTAGACTGCTGTCACGTTCTTTTAAAAGTAAACTGAAAGAACGCGACCGTTTTTTCAACTGCGGAAGACCTTGTTTTATGAGGAATAATGCCTTTTTTCGAAAGTGCTCTTTCAAAAAAAGGCGCTATGTGATGCAAACTGTGCTTTTTTGAAAGAGAGCATCCAGACTGCTTGGGTGCTCTCTTTCAAAAAAGCAGCTTGCTTTTTCGAAAGTACTGGTTGTAGTCTAGACGCTCTTTTTCTAAACTATATTTCAAAAAAGCCTCTTTCGAAAGAGGCTTGCAGTCTAGATGTAGCCATAGTCATCCCATGCTCACCTGCATAAATCAGGTGCCATGAAATGCCAGGCTCCGATCTCTTCCACGACCACAGCATCTTTCAGCCTGTTGAGCAGGAATGTCATAGGGCCCAGAAACTCGCTTGCTTTCTAGCAAAGAGTTACCTTCCCAGGATTAATTCCCTGCTTAGACCTCACATGGGTGGGCAGGATGGAGTGATAAGAGGGTTGCAAACTCAGTCAGCTCTCTGCTGCCCCGGCAGTGGGGCAGCCTTTGAAATGGTGAATTTCTACCTCCAGTGATGGCCCTGCTGGACTATAGGCCAGGCCGGGGACATGTCCTGCTTATTGTCTGGTTAGAATCAATCATTCTCCCCTCTAATTGTCCGAATGAAACCCTTAGGAAGAGACTTTGCTGACTGTGTCTTGGTTTTGTTTTGCCACTAATGCAGCAGATGCTCTCAGCCATGCTACCTACCACTAACCCTAAGGAGCAGCAGACCAGGGGCTTTTAATGATGCCCATTAAAAACGGAAGCCTCAGTGGTACTTGTGTAAGTGCATTTCCACATGCTGGTACAAATGTGAATGCCCTATGCGCACTCACCTTCACTCTTTGGAAATTTGGCACTTCGCGTCTGAGGGCTTGTCCACATGGCAAGTTGCTGCATGGCAAGCCCGTGTGGGACTCTAGAGCACACCAGCTTGCCACACCGTAATGTCCCCCGTGGGTGCTGTTGCCCGGAAGTGCGGTGTGGAGAACAGCCCATCGAAAGTGCACTGCGCTGTAGCATTGTCCATGTGAGACACTGCCGCATAAGCTGCTGTGCTGGAGAGTCCCACCACGGCTTGCTGTGCAGTTCCTTGTTATATGGACAGGCCCTAAAAGATTCCCATTTTTTTTTAATGAGCAGCTGTTCATTCCAGGTGAGTGCTGTACAGCATGTTCGGGTGACTTGCAACCCTCATCACGCCCTAGGAATCAACTGCTTTATGGCTACTCTGGGTAGAACTAGTAGGACAGTTCTGTTGCCCGGAGAAAGCACAACATCGTTGTGTGTGTGTGGGGGGGGGGGGTGCTGTATCAGTGACAGGAGGGCCACCCTGCTACCGCATTCTCTTACTCCCACGAGAGCATAGAGGAGCTTTTAGTCCTTTTGTCAATCCCCTTGGGCTCCAGGAACTTGTGCTGCAGGAGAATCCAGCACTTCAGCACATCTGAGGGAAGCAGGTGCCGTTGCATTCCTGGATAGTCTGATGCTGCACTGAACACCGTCTGCTGGGTGTATGGTCAGGAAAATATCTGCAGTGCCCCCTTTTCTGTAGGGCTGGTTCACCTGGTGGGGGAAGAGTGTGTTTGGCAAAGCAGGGCGCCCTGTGATTAAGAAGAAACAAATACATCAGAGAAAACGTAAAAAGCTGCAGGCTCTGGCAGAGATATTTGAACCTCCTGAAACACAAGGAACTCTGCATATCATCAGTTATCAAACCATCCTGCAGTTTCTGTACAAAGTGAGGCTTTAATGAGTTTTTTTTTCTGATGTTTTCTGTCTGGTCTAGTAACATTTCTCTCTGATGTGACTTAAAGGCCCTGGAAGAACTAACAATCTAATTACAAAGTGTGATGTGAATATGCTGACCAGTGCAGTCCTTGCACTGATGAGCCTCTTGCCAGCTGTTACCTGAACAAGTTGCTTTGTAATTCAATTAAAAGTGCCTCCAAGAACCTTAGGAAACTGGAACAACAGAGATTGTTCATCGTGTTCTCTCTCAAATCATTTTTCAATCCTCACTTTTGTTTTCTCCCTTCTCTTTGCCTTCTTTCCGCACGAATACAACCCCAGTTGGAGATTCTGGATAGGAATACTAGATTCCTAGTACTAGATGCAATAGAAACATGAGCACTGGAACACTCAGCCATTTCAGCACTCTGACTGCCCGATGTCTGGTCTGGTTTTCCAAGGAAAGGGCAAAATTCAGCTCTGAGGCACATCTGTATCTCTTAGGCCTGGTCTACACTAAAGAGAAAGTCGACTTAATATACCCAACTTCAGTTACGTTAGTTACATAGCTGGAGCTGAAGGATCTTGAATTGTATTCTAGTGCCATCTACACAGAGGAGGTCAATGGGTGCACATGTTCCTGTCGGCTTCCCTTACTCCTCATGAGAAGCAGAACTACTGGCGCTGACGGGAACGTCCTCTCAGTTCAAATTAGTGGGTTTTCACTAGACCCGCTAATTCAATCCCCAGAAGATCGACTGCAGCAGCATCAATCTTCTCCATAGTGTAGACCACCCCCAACCGGGCCACATGCCACTCTGATTTACACCTGTGTAAACCCAAACTAGATTAGTTCACATTGGTGAAGTTACTCTAGTTTAAGACCGGTTGAACTGAGAGCAGAATTTGGTACATTTGGTTCTCTCACAGCGGCATAGATATCAAGAGGAATAGGGATGTAAGCAGAGTGGAGTATCGGCACAGAGCAGATCTCCTGGCCAGCTTTGACAGCAGCAGTTTGTGGTGGGTTCCAGAGGGTTCTGTATTTACAGCACAACATCAGAACTCCAACACAGCGTTCGTCTTGGCCCGTGCTTACCTCTGTTGTCTTGAAGGGCAACAGAAACATTGAGAAATATTTCTTTCTTCTCTACTGAAGAAAGAAATATAAACCTAACAGAGCTAGTCGCACACCCTGCTTTTCTTCAGTGCCCCTCCCTAGAGTGTGGACACGCCATCTAGAACTCTTTTCTTCTTCCAAGTGTCTGCTTTTAACCCTCTGACTCTCAGTCAGGATTTGAGACAAGATGTGAAACGCAGCTGTAAAGGGCAGAGCAAAGGTGAGTCAGCACACCTGCTACAGAGCATTGCATAGGAGTCCAGATCCTGCTCTGTGCTGTGCAGGCACACGAAGTGAGGGCAGGGCGTAGGGAGCCTCTCCCTTCAGCACAAGCATTCGTGCAGGGTCTCTGCCAGGTAGGGTACCAGGAGGAGACACTGGTTTCCCCATTGGCTAACGCTGCCCAGCTTCAAGGCTTTCAGTCTGCCAGCGTAAGGGGTAGGTCTGGGGCTCTTCCCCATCCAGATCATGGGTTGCTGTGGGCAGCAAGCACTGGCTGAGGTTGCATTCTCCTTTCTGAAGGAGAAATAGTGGGTGCTCAGCATTGCCTCCCTGCACCCTGGCCAGCGCAGGGATGGGGAGCGGGGACGCAATCGTGTTCGCTCTCAGACCCAGCGTTCCTGACCACCAGAGCGGGATTGCACAGGGAGACTCAGCCATGCTGTGAATCGCCCTGAAGAGCCACAGGGTGCTTGCACCCAGTGCCCTGGCATTCAGGCCAGCTGGTGGGGGTTGGGGGGTGGGGGGTTAGATGTATGTTGCAAAGAACCAAAACCAACAAAGAGTCCTGTGGCAACTTAAACACTACCAGACTGATTTGGGCATAAACTTCAGTGGTTAAAAACCTCTTTGTCAGATGCCTTGGAGACTCCTGTGCATCTGACAAAGTGGGTTTTGACCGCAACAGCTAACGTCCAATTCAATCTTGTCAGTCTTTAAGGTGCCCCAGGCCTCCTCGTTGTGTTTGCAGATACCCACTGAGACACGCCGGAGCCTCCCGCAGCTCATTGTAAATATGTCCAAGTTTGTGCTTAGCTGCATTTTTAGAGAGGAAGGAGGTTCTGCAGTCTGGGTCCTCAAAGATAATTGGGCACCTAACTCTCAGTCCTTTCAATGAGGCATCTCAATACTTTGGAGGACCGGAGCCCGTTGTAGTTGTGATTTCATGTTTCTTGCTCCCCTGTTATCTTCCTGAGTTTAGTGTGAGGATGATTCCTTGTGTCCTTCGATGCCCAGGGTCTCCATTTGCCCGTGCCAGCCTGAAGAGCGGAAAGAATGAGAGCTCCTCATATTTCCGGAGGAAAGAGAAGATGTTCCGGTTCTTCATCCGGCGCATGGTGAAAGCACAAAGCTTCTACTGGATTGTCCTGTGTGTGGTTACCCTGAACACTTTGTGCGTCGCCATGGTGCATTATGACCAGCCAGAGGGGCTCACCAACGCGCTGTGTAAGTTCAGGGGTCAGTCACGGTCCAGCTGGTCCTCCCACTCTGGAGTGCTCTGGTCACTAGCCCCACATTCCCACTAATACCTGCAGCCTCAAGGCCTTTTGGGAACTTCTTATGCCCCCTCCGGAACATCACAAACACATTACTAAGCGGCTCCAAGAAACACCAGAGAAAGGGGGCAATGTGCTATTGGTGCATCGTGACGTGTAATGGTCAGCCAAAAACTTAGTGAACATCATGGTAGGACTGGGGGTAGGGAGGGGGAGCTTGTGGGTTAGGAAAAAACATTTACTTGGGTCCCTCCCAGCAGTTTTGTAAGTTTCTCGAGCCATCTTCACCTGGGGCTGTCCAGAGAACCCCACGAGTCAACCCCACCAGGAGATCACACAATCATAAAAGATTAGGTTGAAAGAAACCTCAGGAGGCCATCCAGTCGAACCCCATGCTCAAAATAGGATGTATAGCTTGTTCTCAGCTCGTCCCTGTGTTCAATACACTAGGCCATTTCTGATAGTAAAACATAATAATGGAAATAATGGAGACTCTGAAGCCCACTTGATATCAAATTGTGCAATGGACAGTTCCACTTCATAGAAACACTATTCCCTACCCCAAAACATTTTACACTAATTCAGTGCAATTGTGTCAGTTAATAGCAACTCCTTGCTGAACATGCACTTGTACAGAAAGTGGCTTTCCAGGAGAGTGCTTGCCTTAATAGGCCAAGGGTGAAGAGAAATGTAATAGTGCCCTTCAGCAAATTGAACTGTGAAAATATGTCCTGTACACATATAAGCAATAATCAGGGCTCGCCAAGCGGACTGCGTTGTGCATGCGCTGACCGCACTGCGCGGCCGCACCGGGCTAAAATCTACTCACCATGGGCGAGTAGATTGCCTGATTTGTCAAGCCCTGGCAATAACGCACAGCAGCTGGGTGATTGTATCACACCCTTGCACATGTAGGATGTGTGTCAGTATCGGCATCCAGTACTGTGTAAAGGCCTTTGCAGTGTTGTTGCTTTTTAAAAGTATGTAATGTTGTTTTATTTTGTAAGGAATAGCCAATGAATCCTGCTTTCTGCACATAGACCTTGTAATGCGGTAAAACCCTTCCTCT